GGCCATCACCAGCCTTGTGGCCAGTTCCGCGTCTGCCGTCACCACCAAGGTAGGACCCGGTGTCCCCTCTGGGCAGCAGCCCGACACAGGGAGCCCTGCCTCCCTGCCTCCCACCCCAGGCCGCACGGGGCCTCCCGAGCGCTCGTTCCCCGGAGCAGTGGCCTCCCTGGCGAGAACCCACAAACCGTTTCTGGGGAAGGCCCTGGGCGTGTTGCTGTGAAGCGTCTGTGCCTAGCTTAAAGGAGGTGCAGCGGCTGCTACAGTCCTGTGCCATGCTGAGTAAAGGCGGTTTAGTGAGTAAAATAACAACAAAACCCCAGACTGGTAACAAGGTTTCCAAACCGTAGACTGGGACCTGCCAGTCCTTCAGTGGCTGGGGTACTTCAGCCGGGCGTGGACCCACAGGGGGAGCCATCGGGTGGTGAGCCCACCCAGGGCCTCCCCGAGCCACCCACGCCTGGGAGGCAGGGCTCTCACTGCACCTGTCCCACTGAGCCCCCAGACACAATGTTATTCCCGCTCCCTCCGGTCCGCCATCCCGCAGTGGGCTTCGGGCCTCTCGCTCCGTCGGTCTGTCTTTCCTGGAAGAACCAGCTCCGCCTGCAGGAATGGCCACAGAAGCCAGTCTGTGTGCTAAACGGAATGTGAGCGTGAACATGGCCGAGCCCCTTGCCCGGCTTCAGGCTGAGCTGGTCCCCTTATTGGGTGCTGCTCAGGGCCCTAAGCAGGGTCAGCAGGGCCCAGGCTGGAAGCCCATTCATCCCTCCCGCCCCTCGGCCGGGCAGGGCTCCACAGGCCTTCACCTCTGCCAGCCATCAGAGCTGCTTCCCCGGAGCCCTCTCAGGGCCTGCACACACGTATGTGCATGCGTGCGTGTGCGTGTGTGTGTGTCTGGCCTTTTTTCCCCCCGGCTTTTATAAAAGTTGCAGGAGAAATATAAGGCGGGAGGCCCGGGGCCGCCATTGTGCGTGGCTGTGGTGGCGGATGGCCGGCGCTCCAGGTGTGCGGGCCTTTGTCTCTGCGACTTCCCGAACCCCCTTTCAGCCCTGCTTCCCATTAATAACGGAGAGAGCTGCTGGCTGCAGGGCCCGGCGGAGGCCCAGACAATGGAGCAATTGGAGGCCGGCGCAGCATGCTGACATCTTGGTGCAGTGCCTTATTGATTTTATTTTCCTGTTATGAAAACACCCTCCCCACCGAGGCAGGGAGGAAAGGAATGTCAGACGGGAGAGGAGATGAAGGATTATTTGGGCACACTGCCCCCCGGGCCAGCCAAAAGCATTCCTCCCTGGGCACCAGCCCCGGCCTGCTCCTAATGGGTGACCTCTGCCCAGGAGAGCCGGCCCGGCATGGTGGCCACATCTGGCAGGCACTCTGCGTGGGCAGCTGTTGGCCATCTGGAGATGGCAGCCTGTGGAGCCAACAGCCGGGCTGCAGATGGGGAGGGGCTGCGCCCCAAGGGCCCACCCACTGGTTCTGTCCTCAGAAGGGGTGCTCGTCAGGGACGGCACTGGGTGCTCTGGGACCAGGGCAGTGCCAACAGCTCTCTGCAGGTGCCGGCCCTGCCACATGTCTTCCAATTTGCTCCTAGCTCGGTATTCCCCATCCCTGACTGGCCAGGCCCCAACCCACTGCCTCAGACAGAAAACAACAGCTGGGACAAGGGCTGAGCCCGGGGCCAGGAGAAACAGAGAGGGCAAGAGTCGGGGCTTCTAAGGACATCCAGTGCCCAGCCACGTGACGACAGAGGAGGCAAATTCCTTCTCCTGTGTGGTCGTCTCCAGCCCAGCTTGGTACCTGCAGGGCTGGTTTGTGCCTGGTCAGGCCCTGGGTTCCTGGGGTGCTCAGGAGAATGGGGTCCACAGGGGAGGGGAGGCAGCAGCTGCCCTCAGCGCAGCTCTTACCTGGGCCACTGCTGTTCAGTGTGGGCCGTGGCGCCTCCTGTCCTTCTAGCCGAGCTGCTGCCCACCTGGACCATTCCGCAAGCAGGCAGCCCAAGCCCAGGCAGTGATGGTTTCCCTGGTCAACCACCTGGCTGTTCACTAAGTGGCCAAGGGCTGGCTCTTGCCCTCATGGTGCTCACAGGCCAGGGTCTCATGGACCTGAGGCCAGGACAGTATAACATGGTGACCCAGAATGTTTCTTCTCCTCCAGGCGAGGTGGCTTGGTGAGGGGATAAAAGCAGACTTGGAGGTAGACTGGCTTTTAATTTCAATCAACTGCTTGCATGCTGAGTGACACTGGTCATGTTGCCCAACCTCTCTGGACCTCAGTTCTGTGAAATGAGAACAGGTGGCGATCCCTGCCTACTGAAAGTGTTGTAGAACTGTGTATTGTAGGACTGTGTAAGAAGAAACATGTGAATTGCCCAGGACAGGAAGGACCTGGCGCCAGGTGTGAGTCCTGTCTAGGTACTGTGGTCACCCTACGGCCTCCATCTCCTGGTGTGGCCCACAAGATAAGGCTACCCCCAGTGAGAACAGTTGTTCGGTTCTAACCTTACCAAGGTGCAACGGTCAGTTTTGCCTGAGGAACGGGAGCTGGCCCTAGGCAGGCAGGGAAGGAAGGTGTGTTGAAGTTGCTAGGACTCAAGGTGACCTGGAAGCAAGAGAATGCTGGGAGGAAAGGGACAAGGAGAGGGCAGCTCGCAGACCCCGGAGGGAAGCCAGAGCGGCACACCCGGAAGCCAGGGAGTAGAGGACATGGATCAGAAGCCTCTGTCAGCCATGAGACCTTTTCCTCAGAGGAAGGACCAGCAGGGACACCAAATGAGGCCCAGGCTAAAGGAAGCTGAGCAAGGGAAGTTGCTGGGTAAAAGCTGGGCCAGAGCAGGGTGCTCCTCCTGCCCTGGGGCATGTTAGAGCCGCAGGAAGGGACCAGCCTGGCATCTGTGGTGAAGGCTGTAGTGCCATGTGTGGGCCAGGACCACTGTAGGAGCTCAGAGTGGGCCAGGGAAGCTGGCCCAGGTACACGGTCAGTGCTGTCAGCCCCTGGAGCCTCCCACGTGACTAGGCAGGGAGCAGGACTAGTGTCACAGGCTGTAGGACATTGCCATCCTCCTGCCCATGGGCCTGGTCACAGGCTCATTCCCAGGCTACAGTCTGCTTCTGTGGGCCAGTGCTGAGGGTCACAGCTCTCTGCAAGGGGAGGGCTGGCTGTGCTCCCAGAGGCCCTTAGCAAGGTGATGATAATTCTTTCTGTCACTGCTGCCCTCGGGCCTGAGGTAATGTTTGTTTCTTCATTTATCTGCCTGTGGCCTAAAGATTTCTGGAATCTTTTGATGTAATGCCAGTTGGACAATCCCAGGCTGCTGGCTGCTGAGACACCTGGGGGCCTTAGCAGGCTAACCTTCCCCTCCCGTCCACATGCCCTCTTTGCTCTCCGGACAAGAGTTCCGCTGAGGGACATATCCATTAAACCTGAATTCTGCAGGTAAGAGCAGCGAAGCCCAGAGAAAATGGAGCTTCCCTACTTACAAGGCCGCCCAGAGAGAGACCGGAAGTTGCAGGGCCAGCTCTCTCTATCCGTCGCTACCGGGCAGCATGCAGGCCTGGAGAAACCATGATTATAGAAGAATCACTGGAACTCCCACCTTTCATTCTCTTGGGTGACAGACAGCACACTCCAAATTTCAGGCCAGGGAATGGACACATTTCTGTGTCCTGGTACAGGAAGGAAATTTAAGCCAATGATTCCATCAGCTCAACAGGTACTGAGAGTTTTAAGTTCTAGAGTCAGACAGGACTAGGACTGGATCCTCATCCCACGGCTTATGAGTTAAACCTCAGCTTCTTTGTCTGTAAAATGGGAATAGCAATAATATCCTCCTTGTAAGGGTTATTTAGATCAAGATGTGCAGAAAAACCTAAAACCATATCTGCTACTTGGTAAGTACTCAAAGTTAATAATTTTCAGGGATTAAATTAGCCAGGTGAATGTTGCATTCCTATAATCCCAGCATTCTGGGAGGCTGAGAGGTATGGTGGATGGCAGGTTTGAGCCCAACCTAGGCAATTCAGCAACTTAGCAACACCGTGTCTCAAAATTAAAAGGTTGGGGATGTAGCTCAGTGTAAAGGCCCTGGATTCAATCCCCAGTACTAAAGAAAAGAAGAAAAAATGGAGAGAAGAGAGTTAAACTAGAGGTTGAGTTTATCCAAGGATCTACGCGTGTGGGGGACCAGCTCCAGAGTGGTGCTGCTGAGCTGAAGAGAGGCTCCCTGAACAGCCCTGTCCCTCTCTGCTGTAGCGGAGGAATGCGGGCAACGCTCCGCCTAAGTCCCCACCGGCCGCCCCTGAGACAGAGGTGCGACTCCACCACTGGGTCTGTTTGTGGGGTGGCAGGGAGGCACCAGTGGCCACAGTTGCTGCTGCATGAAATTTAAATTATTCTCAGCAAACCTGCTTGGCAGATGAAACAGAAAAGGGATGGCTTCATAAAATGTAATTTCATTCCTGAAAGAATGGGCTGACAGAGTACTCGCCAAGGCCTGTGAAATGGATTGGGGCTTTTCCTCCTCGTGGTCAGCCTGAAACATTACCGCTGTCCCTCCGAGCTAAGAAAACAAATCTGGCTGGGGTGCAGTCAACGTGGCCTATGTCAGAGGCCCGAGGGGAGCCGAACAGGGCTGAGAAACTCCGTGCTTTGAAGGCCAAATGCACAGAGGGTTGACATCTGTGAGCATCTGGAGGTGTCAGGCTGGATATTTGTCATCAGGAATGCGATCTTTCCCGTGCACCCCAGGAACACACCCCTTGGGGGACGATCTAGAGCTCTTTGAGCCCATGTGAGTGACCACAGAGCCCAGGGCAACCCGACGTGGGGTTTGTGACTGGTTCTGAGCTCTGTGGATGGATAAAGGAGCTTTGCTTACACCTCCTGTTCCTCTTGTGTTCACATTAAAACTCAAAGACTGCTGAGGGAGCTCAGTTGGGAGAATGGCTCAAACCCCTTTTATAGTGAATTTCCAGCCTGCAAGTGATTTTCTCCAGAAGACTGCGGCTTGCTCCAAGAACACGTATTTTTTATTTCCCTGGTGATAAATTATTG